AAAAAAAAAAAAAAGACTGAAGTTGGAACTAGTGCTCTGCCTCCTGCCACATTCCCGCATGGCTTGTCTTAGCTGCTAAGACTTAATACCTTCTCCGCTCTGTAGAGTCTTCCCCCAGATCCCTGTGGTTGATGTATTTTATCTGGACTCCTTCAGCAATTAGTGGGGAGTATTAGATAGTATAAGTGAGACCCCCTTCTACAACCCTCAAGGAACTGTTTGAATTTCATTTCCCTGGAATTTTACAGAATCCACTGGTTCAGAATGGGGAACATCATTGGCCAGTCTCCCTCAGGAGACGCCTCTACCTCACACCATCATTCTCTGCCATGGCAATCTCCCTGAATAGCTGACTGTCACCTAACCAGAACAGTATTAGAATAAAAACACAGCCACACAAAGTCCAGTGGGCGATAGTAATCATAATCTGAAAATAGTGCAACACTTAGAAATTCTCCCTCAAGAATGATACCGCTGATACTTTCCCAGTGATCACTGATAAAATCACTATGCCATCCCAATCAATACTTGATCATAACAGCAAACATATCAAGAAAAAAAACAAAACAAAACAAAGCAGGTCTTTTCTGACCAAGAAGGGAAATAATTTCTCTAGAGGAAAAAATAAAAGTTGTAGAAACAATCTACTCCGACATGATAAAAAGGAGAGAAAAGAACATGGCCTTCCCCTATGGAGAGACACGTAGAATACATCAGAATGCATACACAGAACTTTTTTTTACGTAGGTGTCTTGAATAACAAAATCCTAAATACTAAAGTGTACACTTTAAAAGGGTGATTTTTTGCACCATGTGGATTACATCTCAATACAGCTGGATTTTCAAAAAATATCTCAAAGATTTTCAAAAAAATCTCAAAGAGAAAAAGTGCTTTGAGGGCGGTGCCTGTGGCTCAAGCGCTGGCCCTATATACCGGGGGTGTCGGGTTCAAGCCCACCCCGGCCAAAAACTGCAAAAAAAAATTTTAAAAAGCACTTGGAAATTCCTGGGAGTTCAGGACAATAGTATCTGCTAACTTCTGTTGAACCTGAAAGACATCAAGCACTTTACATGAGTGAAACTTTCTTCAACATCCACCCAAAGGACCTTCTGGCCAAACCAGATTTGATGAGAGTGGAAGCACCACCAAGGCTCTCAGACATAGAGAAGTATCCCTTCACAACAGCCATTTAAGAAAGTGTATGAGCCTGGGAAGTCTTCCCTCCTGCACTGTCTCCAATGCAAACCCTGTTCACAAGCCCAGTTCTGAACAAAAGGTTCCGCCATGGGGCCAGGGAAGCCCATCGAGGCTGGCTTCAAGGGACTTACATGGGGTCGTCATCTGGCTCCCAGCCTTCCAGCTCCTTGAAGCAGAAGAAACACTGGGCCAAGTCGGGCTCGTTCTCAGTAGGACAGTGGATGAAGCCGGCCTCGGCCATCTGCAAGGGACAGCACCGCTCGTGAGCAGACGCGGCGGCAAAGACCCTCGGGACCCAGTGGGTCCGGCAGTCCGCTGGAGGGGACGTCCACCGGCCCGGGCGGGGAGGGGAGTGAGGGTAAAGTGGCCTGGACTCCCGGGCCGTAGCCACAATGGCGCTGGCAACCCCCGGGATGGGTTGTTCCGCGGTCAGAGGAGGGGAGGGCTGCTGGGATCCTCGCTACCCAGCCACAGTGGGACCGGCAGTCCCCGGGAGGGGACGTTCCGCGTCCGAGCTCCGGGACAGGCCGGGCCTGCAGGAGCCGGAGAAGCCGGGCATTCTCACCCGTTCTGGGGTGCAGGCGCAGCCCTCCAAGAAGGGCCAGTTCTTGAACGTAGAGATACGATGATCCTTGAGAAAGAGCCGCCAGGCGGGGGGCAAAGTCGGAGCGCCCATACCTCCGCCACCGCCCCCGGGCAGGCCTGTACAGCTATTCAAATCCAACAGCTAATGGCGCGCCGCGGGGCACGTCGGGAATGCCCCGCCCCTTGAAGGAGCTGCCCCCCGCGGCCTTCTGGGAAAGCGAGGCTGAGGGCGGGGCGCGCCGGAAATTGTAGTCCTGCCGCAGCGCGGCTCTGCCCCGCCCAGTGGTGGCCTGGTCCCTTCCAGCGCTTAGCGCCTCCCCCTGCCTTCCGAGAGCGAGTGCAGAAGGGGCTGAGCGTGAGGTCTAGCAGTGGTTCCTGTGCCGGCAAATTCGTTTTTGTTTTTATTTTGAGTTAGAGTCTCACTTGGTCGCCCTGGTAGAGTGTGATGGCATCACAGCCACAGCAACCTCAAACTCTTGGGCTCAAGGATTCTCCTGCCTCAGCCTCCTGAGTAGCTAGGACTACAGGAGCCCGCCACAACGCCAGGCTATTGTTTGAGATGGTGGTTCTTGCTCTGGCTCAGGCTGTTCTCCAACTCGTGAGCTCAGGCAATCCACTTGCCTCGGCCTCCCGGAATGCTAGGATTACATGCGTGAGCCACCACGTCCAGCCTCAGTGAAGCTTTTTGGAAGTCCGGGAATAAACCCTTGGAGCTTGGTTCCTGCCTTTCCCTTAGAATTCCAACGACTGAGCTATTCCTACAAGTCAGGAGCTGGAGCTCTAAGTATGCCACAGAAGCAGCATAGTGTCAGATATGAAAAAACTCATTTATCCAATTATAATCCTTACAATGGGCAAAAGACCCCTAAAAGGAGGTCCAATTTTGTGCTGCTTCAAATAGCACTGCAATAAATGTCTTGTATGAATATTCTTGTAAGAATTCTTGTATGGGCTCGGCGCCTATAGCTCAACCGGCTAAGGCGCCAGCCACGTACACCTAAGGTGGCGGGTTCGAATCCCCAGCCCGGACCC